GTAACGCTAAACACTTTACACTTGTGTCAGAATTGGGATGAACATAAACACGCCACAAATTAAATTATTGTGCATCGTGTACTCTACTGCGACATGATGGAGATGCAGCAGATTATGGAAATGCTGGCGAGAATGGACGCCGATAGGAAGAAAGAGAAGGAAGTGAGGGAGAAAATTAAGAGGAAAGAGAAGGAAGTGAAGGGAGAAATTAAGAGGAAAGAAGAGGAGGAAATGGAAGCCGATAGGAGAAAAGACAGAGAAGATTTCCTGGCAAAATTAGACGTCAACCAGAAACAAACCGAAGTCATGCTGACAAAATTAGACGCCTACCAAGAAAAGGCGACGGCCGACAAGGAAGAATTAAAGGCCGAAATGCGATCTATGAAGTCAGAGTTGGATGATCAAATCCAACATAGAATCGAAAACATTTTGGCGATCGTTGAGCACGACAAACAGACTCTCCGGTCGGAAATAACTGAGCAGATTGAAGTGTCCCTCTGCGTGCGGACAGATAAAATGCAGGAAGAGCTAACGAAAACATCTGCAGCAATTGAAGAAACCAAACTCGAGCTCCAGGCACGGTGTGACATGGTAAAAATTAAGGCCGAGCGGGGAAATACAGCAACGATCGTCGCGAGCACAGCTCAGCCACCGACATTCTACGGGAATTCAACGTGGAGCGTGTTCCGGCGACAATTCGAGACCGTAGTAGAGCACAACCAATGGACGGATAAGGAAAAATCGACGTACCTAATTACGGCCTTGAAGGGTCGGGCTGCGGAAATACTACCCGGCATTCCGGCAAATACAACTTACGAGGAAACTCTTCAGGCTCTAGAAGACCGTTTCGGAGACCACCACTTTGCAGCTGCCTACCGCTGCCAATTAAGTACAAGGACCCAGAAACCTGGAGAATCCCTGCAGGACTTTGCCACGGCCATTGAACTGCTTTCCCATCGTGCCTACACCAATCTACCTGCAGACCACATTGGAAGAGGGGCAGGAATAGCCTTCGTATACGGCATACGAGATGCCGATATAAAGTTCCAGCTGCTGCTAGGAGGTGAGAAGAAAATAAACGAGGCCCTCCGACGAGCGCTAGAGCTGCAAGCGGTACTGACAGCAGTTAGACTTCACGAAGGTAGCACCAAGATATACCGGAAGTACCGATCGTTCCCCACCCATCGAGAAGGCGGAAGACAATCAAGGTGCTGAAGTTGTGGAAAACTGGGCCACTTCGCAAATAACTGCCCCTACGAACAGGATGGGTACACAACCGCCGGGAAACAAGCGACAGCCAGCGGAGAAGGGCGAACGCCGGCATATGCATTAAGGCCCCCACACTACTCACTCACCGTCGAAAGGGTGAATGCCATCCACAATGAGATGACGGCCTGCCAAGAGATAGAGGCACGTCTACAAGACGGGAAGCCGGCCTCAGTGGTCACGAAACCTGCGGCGGCACAACAAGGGGAGGTCCCCATGGGGATACCGGTCAGAGTGACGATGGCCTGCGGAGAAACAGAGGCACGTCCAGAAGGAGAAAAGCCGGCCTCAGCGAATAGGAAACGTGAGGTGGCAGGATTACGAGAGGTACCCATAAAGGACGCCGAAGTAATGCCGGTCGGAGAACCGAAGAAGAAAAGGCGTAGGGACAGAAAAAAGCGGAATATGAAGAATTCGACGCCGGAAGGGAGTGGACTCCACAAGAAGTTGGCTGCCCCCTGCAGGAAGACATCCCGTCGCGCGACAGTGGCACGACGTTGGAGAAAGAATTGCATAGATTTCCAAAAATTAAAGTGGAATCTTTAAATAATAGTTCAAATCCTTTGCATTATCTTGATATCTGGAGTAATAATTGGTCGAAATTTCATAATGTTCGTTCAGATCTTTCAAAATCGAGTTTATATTCGTTAAAATAACATAAAATCTGAAAAATAGACAAAAATTCCCCCAATTTAAGAAGAAATCTTCAACAATTTCAACAGTATTCCGTTTAATAAGAAGAAAACCTTGCCATATTGTGTGTAAATCCTTATATTAACTTGAAATCGTCAAAGAATTTTTCGGAATTATTCCATAAAATATGTTGATTTCGTTCAAATTTTGATTAAATTATCAGGAAATCTCTTGAAATTTGATTAAAATCAATTTATATTTAAATATTTCCAAAAAATTAATAGAATTCCATAAATTAAAGTTGAATCTTGGAGAATTTGTTGAAATTCATAATATGAACTTAAAATCTTGAATAATATTTGGTCAAAATTTCATAAATTACTTTGAAATCTATCAAAACCTGGTTTACATTCGTTAATTTTAACTTAACATCAATAAATATTGACTTAAATTTTCATGATATAAAGTATAAATCGTCATTAATTTTGACAGAATTTCATTTATTAAGAAGAAATCTTTCATATACTGTGTGTAATTCCTTATATTATCGTAAATTCGGTTATGAACTTTCGGAATATTTCATATAATAGGTTGAGTTCGTTCAAAATTTGAATATATTTCCATTAAATTGATTGTGAAAGAATGAAAATTTTGATAAATTTCATTAAAAAAATATAGTAATAATCAGAATCTAATAGTAATTTCATAAATTAGAGCAATATCTTTTTAAAAATTGGTTGAAATTCGTTTAGTTAACTTGAAAAAGTCAGATAATTTTTTGTTAAAATTATATAGATTTCCTTGAATTCTATCAAAATGCAGATAAAATTCCTTAAATTACCTTCGAATCCTTCAAATTTCTTTAAATTTCCTGAAATAATACGTAAATCGTCAAAGAATGTGTTAGAAATCCTGGATTTTTAGTGAAATATTTGACTAAATATTTGATATTATTGATCTTAATTGAAATCGAGAAATAATTTTTGTTTTATGTTATATGAATTAGGTTGAAGAAGGTCAAAATTAGTTTAGAATTTCTTAATATTATCATGAAATCCCTCAAAATTTGATTAAAATGAAATAATACTAAAAATATCGTCAAAGAATTACATAGGTTTCCAAAAATTAAAGTGGAATAATGAAAAATTGTTGAAATCCTTTGTATTATCTTGATATCTGGAATAATAATTGGTCAAAATTTCATAAATTACGTTCACATCTTTCAATATCGGGTTCATATTTTTTAAAATAACATGAAATCTATTAAAATATACTTAAATTTCCCCAATTAAAGAAGAAATCTTCAACAATTTCAACAGTATTCCGTTTAATAAGAGAAACTCTTGCCATATTGTGTGTACATCCTTATATTAACTTGAAAACGTCAAAGAATTTTCGGAAAAAGTTCCATAAAATATGTCGATTCCGTTCAAACTTGGTTTAAATTATTACGAAACCCACATTAAAATTTGATTAAAATCAATTTTTATTTAAATATCTTAAAAAAATGAATAGAATTCCATAAACTAAAGTTGAATCTTGGAGAATTTGTAGAAATTCATAATATTAACTAAAATTTGGAATAATCTTTGGTCAAAATTTCATAAATTTCTTTGAAATCTATAAAAACCTGGGTACATTCGATAATTTTAACTTAACATCAATGAATATTGACTTAAATTTTCCTGATATAAAGCTTATATCGTCATTAATTTTGAAAGAATTTCATTTATTAAGAAGAAATCTTTCATATACTGTGTGTAATTCCTTATATTAACGTAATTTCGGCTATGAACGTTCGGAATCTTTTCATAAAATAGATTGAGTTCGTTCAAAACTTGAATACTTTTCCATTAAATTGATTGTGAATGAATGAAAATTTTGATAAATTTCATTAAAAAATATAGTAATAATCAGAAACTAAAAGAATTTCATAAATTAGAGCGATATCTTTTTAAAAATTGGTTGAAATTCCTTAATTTAACTTGAAAAATTCAGAGAATTTTATGTTAAAATTATATAGATTTCCTTGAATTCTTTAAAAATGCAGTTAAAAGTCCTTAAATTACCTTCGAATCCTTCAAATTTCTTTAAATTTCCTGAAATATTATGTTAATCGTCAAAGAATGTGTTAGAATTCTTGGATTTTGAGTGAAATATTTGACTAAATATTCGATATTATTTATATTAATTAAAATCGAGAAATAATTTTTGTTTGATGTTTTATGAATTAGGTTGATGAAAGTCAAAATTAGTTTAGAATTTTTTAATATTATCATGAAACAACTCAAAATTTGATTAAAATGAAGTAATAGTAAAAATATCGTCAAAGAATTGCATAGGTTTCCAAAAACTAAATTGGAATCTTTGAAAATTTGTTGAAATCCTTTGTATTATCTTGATATCTAGAATAATAATTGGTCAAAATTTCATAAATTACTTTCAAATCTTTCAAAATCGGGTTTTTATTCGTTAAAATAACATAAAATCTATAAAAGTAGACTTAATTTCCCCAATTTAAGAAGAAATCTTCAACAATTTCAACAGTATTCCCTTTAATAAGAAGAAATCCTTGAAATATTGTAGGTAAATCCTTTTATTAACTTGAAAACCTCAAAGAAATTTCGGAAAAATTTCCATAAATATGTTGATTTCGTTCAAAATTGGTTTAAATTATCACGAAACCCATTAAAATTTGATTAAAATCAATTTATTTTTAAATGTTTAAAAAAATGAATAAAATTCCATAAATTATAATTGAATTTTGGAGAATTTATTGAAATTCATAATATTAACTTAAAATATGGAAAAATCTTTGGTCAAAATTTCATAAATTATTTTTTGAATTGTTTCATTTTGGTCCGTTACACTATCAATCACCACTTATCAATATAACCTCCGTCGTGTGTAACAAAGTATATTCTTGTCACTATTTTTTACATTTGCCTTACATGTTTCGGCTCACAAAGAGCCATCATCAGAGGCACCCACCACAAAAACATAAAACCACTTGCACTGCTCAGCAATCACAATATACAGTTTTTTGTGGAAGATGTTACACATATCAGAGCGTAAAACACAACAACATCCAGTATCCTGCGTGCAGGTGTCCCAATAGCTTTTAAAAAATCACCCAGCAAAGCGAGTCGTTAATTAAAATTAAATTTAAAACCGTCCAAGTAAAATATTCAGGTTCCTTTTAGTGGATAGTCCCAATGGGGGAGGCGTCAGCACGGGGTTCCGTGGGCTGCAAAGATATTGCATTAAGTTAGGTTATATCTATTATCGTATATTTAACGTTGAATATTAAATGATGTTTGATGCTGGCCTTACCTTGTGGTCGGCTGTGTCCGACACGTAGTGTATAGTGTAGTGCTGTGGAGAGGCCACGTCGATGCTATTTAAACTTATGTGTATCGTGACGTGGTGGGGGTTGTGTGTGTACAAGTGGTAATAAGGTCAAACATGCTGAGCCTCTGATGATGGCTCTTTGTGAGCCGAAACTTGTAAGGCAAATGTAAAAAATAGTGACAAGAATATACTTTGTTACACTCGACGGAGGTTATATTGATAAGTGTTCATAAATTACTTTGAAATCTATCAAAACCTGGTTTACTTTCGTTAATTTTAACTTAACATCAAAGAATATTGACTTAAATTTTCCTGATATAAAGTATAAATCCTCATTAATTTTGAGAGAATTTCATTTATTAATTTTAACATAAAATTCTCTGAGTTTTTCAGGTTAATTTATAGAAATTCAACCAATTTTTAAGAAGACATCGACTAATTTATGAAATTACTTTTAGTTTCTGATTATTACTATATTTTTGTAATGAAAATTATCAACATTATCATTCATTCACAATCAATTTAAAGGAAATTTATTCAAATTTTGAACGAACTCAACCAATTTTATGAAAAGATTCCTAACGTTCATAGCCGATTTTACGTTAATACACACAGTATATGAAAGATTTCTTCTTAATAAATGAAATTCTCTCAAAATTAATGAGGGATTTATAATTTATATCAGGAAAATTTAAGTCAATATTCTTTGATGTTAAGTTAAAATTAACGAATGTAAACCAGGTTTTGAAAGATTTCAAAGTTATTTATGAAATTTTTACCAAAGATTATTCCAAATTTTTATATAATATTATGAATTTCAACTAATTCTTCAAGATTCAACTTTAATTTATGGAATTCTATTCATTTCTTTGAAGATATTTAAATATAAATTGATTTTTATCAAATTATAAGGGATTTCGTGATAATTTAAACCAAATTTGAACGAAATCAACATATATTTTGGAACATTTTCCGAAAATTCTTTGACGTTTTCAAGGTAATAAAAGGATTTACACACAATATGGCAAGGATTTCTTCTTATTAAACGAAATACGGTTGAAATTGCTGACAATTTCTTCTTTATATTGGGGAAATTTAAGTCTATTTTGATAGATTTTATGTTATTTTAACGAATATAAAACCGATTTTGAAAGATTTGAATGTAATTTATGAAATTTTGACCAATTATTAATCCAGATATCAAGATAATATATAGGATTTCAACCATTTTTTAAAGATTCCACTTTAATTTTTGGAAAACTATGCAATTCTTTGACGATATTTTTAGTATTACTTCATTTTATTGAAATTTTGAGGGGTTTCATGATAATATTAAGAAAATCTAAACAAATTTTGACTTTTTCAACCAAATTCATATAACATCAAACAAAAATTATTACTCGATTTTAATTAATATAAATTATATCGAATATTTAGTCAAATGTTTCACTCAAAATCAAAGAATTCTAACATATTCTTTAAAGTTTTACATAATATTTCAGGAAATTTAAAGAAATTTCGAGGGTTCGAAGGTAATTTAAGGAATTTTAACTGCATTTTGAACTAAATTAAGGAAATCTATATAATTTTAACATAAAATTCTGTGACCATTTCAGGTTAATTTATAGAAATTCAACCAATTTTTAAAAAGTCATCGACTAATTCATGAAATTACTTTTATTTTCTGATTATTACTATATTTTTGTAATGAAAATGATCAAAATTTTCATTCATTCACAATCAATTTAAAGGAAATTTATAAAATTTTGAACGAACTCAAACTAATTTATGAAAAGATTCCGAAAGTTCATAGCCGGTTTTACGTTAATACACACAGTATATGAAAGATTTCTTTTTAATAAATCAAATTCTGTCAAAATCAATGACGATTTATACTTTATATCAGGAAAATGAAATCAATATTCATTGATGTTAAGTAAAAAATTAACCAATGTAAACCAGGTTTTGATAGATTTCAAAGTAATTTATGAAATTTTGACCAAAGATTTTTCCAAATTTTTAGTTAATATTATGAATTTAAATAAATTCTCCAAAATTCAATTATAATTTATGGAATTTTATTCATATTTTTGAAGGTATTTAAATATAAATTGATTTTAATCCAAATTTAAGGGGTTTCGTGATAATTTAAACAAAATTTGAACGAAATCAACATATTTATGGAACATTTTCCGAAAATTCTTTGAGGTTTTCAAGTTAATAAAAGGATTTACACACAATATTTCAAGGATTTCTTCTTATTAAAGGGAATACTGTTGAAATTGTTGAAGATTTCTTCTTAAATTGGGGAAATTAAGTCTACTATTATAGATTTTATGTTATTTTAACGAATAAAAACCCGATTTTGAAAGATTTGAAAGTAATTTATGAAATTTTGACCAATTATTATTCCAGATATCAAGATAATATAAAGGATTTCAACAAATTTTCAAAGATTCCAATTTAGTTTTTGGAACCCTATGCAATTCTTTGACGATATTTTTAGTATTACTTCATTTTAATCAAATTTTGAGTTATTTCATGATAATATTAAGAAATTCTAAACTAATTTTGACTTTAATCAACCTAATTCATATCACATCAAACAAAAATTATTTTTCGATTTTAATTAATATTTATAATATCGAATTTTTAGTCAATTATTTCACTCAAAATCCAAGAATTCTAACACATTCTTTGACGATTTACATAATATTCCAGGAAATTTAAAGAAATTTTAAGGATTCTAAGGTAATTTAAGAAACTTTAACTGCATTTGTACGAATTCAAGGAAATCTATTTAATTTTAACATTAAATACTCTGAATTTTTCAAGTTAAATTAAAGAAATTCAACCAATTTTTAAAACGACATCGCATTAATTTATGAAATTACTTTTAGATTCTGATTATTACTACATTTTTTAATGAAATTTATCAAAATATTCATTCATTCACAATCAATTTAATGGAAAAATATTCAAATTTTGAACGAACTCAACCTATTTTATGAATAGATTCCGAAAGTTCATAGCCGATTTTACGTTAATATAAGGAATTACACACAGTATATGAAAGATTTCTTCTTAATAAATGAAATTCGATCAAAATTAATGACGATTTATACTTTATATCCGGAAAATTTAAGTCAATATTCATTGATGTTAAGTTAAAGTTAACGAATGTATACCAGTTTTCATAGATTTCAAAGAAATTTATGAAATTTTGACCAATGATTATTCCAGATTTTAAGTTAATATTATGAATTTCAACAAATTCTTAAAGATTCAACTTTAATTTATGGAATTCTATTCATTTCTTTGAAAATATTAGATTATAAATTGATTTTAATCAAATTTTAAGGGATTTCGTGATAATTTAAACCAAATTTGAACGAAATCAACATAATTTATGGAATATTTTCCGAAAATTCTTTGACGTTTTCAAGTTAATAAAAGGATTTACACACAATATCAAGGATTTCTTCTTATTAAACGAAATACTGTTGAAATTGGTGAAAATTTCTTCTTTAAATTGGGGAAATTTAAGTTTTATTTTGATAGATTTTATGTTATTTTAAAGTATATAAACCCGATCTTGAAATACTTGAACGTAATTTATGAAATTTTGACCAATTATTATTCCAGATATCAAGATAATACAAAGGATTTCAAAAATTTTTAAAAAATTCCACTTTAATTTTTGGAAACCTATGCAATTCTTTGACGATATTTTTAGTATTACTTCATTTTAATCAAATTTGAGGGATTTCATGATAATATTAAGAAATTCTAAACTAATTTTGACTTTCTTCAACCTAATTCATAAAACATCAAACAAAAATTTTTTCTCGATTTTAATTAATATAAATAATATCGAATATTTAGTCAAATATCTCACTCAAAATCCGAGAATTCTAACACATTCTTTGATGATTTACATATAGTATTTCAGGAAATTTAAAGAAATTTGAAGGATTCGAAGGTAATATAAGGAATTTTAACTGCATTTTGAACGAATTCAAGGAAATCTATATAATTTTAAAATAAAATTCTCTGACTTTTCAAATTAATTTATAGAAATTCAACCAATTTTTACAAAGACATCGCACTAATTTATGAAATTACTTTTAATTCCTGATTATTACTATATTTTTGTAATGAAAATTATCAAAATGTTCATTCATTCACAACCAATTTAAAGGAAATTTATTCAAATTTTGAACGAACTCAACCTATTTTTCTGAAAAGATTCCGAAATTTCATAGCAGATTTTACGTTAAAAATAAGAATTACACACAGTATATGAAAGATTTCTTCTTAATAAATGAAATTCTGTCAAAATTAATGACGATTTATACATTATATCAGAAAATTTAAGTCAATATTCATTGATGTTAAGTGAAAATAACGAATATAAACCAGGTTTTGNTTAAAATTAACGAATGTAAACCAGGTTTTGATAGATTTCAAAGTAATTTATGAAATTTTGACCAAAGATTATTCCAGGTTTTAAGTTAATATTATGAATTTCAACAAATTCTTCAAGATTCAACTTTAATTTATAGAAATATATTCATTTTTTTGAAGATATTAGATTATAAATTGATTTTAATCAAATTTTAAGGGGTTTCGTGATAATTTAAACAAAATTTGAACGAAAACGACATATTTTATTGAATTTTTCAGAATATTCTTTGATGTTTTCAAGTTAATATAAGGAATTACACACTTTATGGCAAGGATTTCTTCTTATTAAACGGAGTACTGTTGAAATTGTTGAAGATTTCTTCTTAAATTGGGGAAATTTAAATCTTTTTAACGTAAAATTGGCTATGAACTTTCGGAATGTTTTCATAAAATAGGTTGAGTTCGTTCAAAATTTGAATACATTTCCATTAAATTGATTGTGAATGAATGAAAATTTTGATAAATTTCATTAAAAAATATAGTAATTATCAGAAACTAAAAGTAATTTCATAGATTAGAGTGATATCTTTTAAAAATTGGTTGAAATTCTTTCATTTATCTTGAAAGAGTCAGAGAATTTTATGTTAAAATTATATACATTTCCTTGAATTCTTTCAAAATGCAGTTACATTTCTTAAATTACCTTC